CATCCAAGCTGACAGGTGTCTCCATTGCAAAAAGTGCTAGTATTTGCAGGAGATGATTTTGCATTATAAAGGCAACTAAAACACGCATTTACTATGTTAACATGAATGCAAATACAAATCTAATGGCATGTACATCCTTAATGAGAACCAGGTCAAAAATTGCCTCACAGTGTTAGACAACCACACGCCTCATTTGTGTACATTCTTAATGAGCTTTAATACCATATTCAAGGAATTGACATGACAAATTACAAACACAGAGAGAGTATTTAGTTTCTTATGAGCCAAATTCCAATCGAAAGAAAATATTTTAGCACAACATAACCAAGCCTATGTGTAAGTTATGTGTTGCAAGAATAACTACCTGGAAACCATGATCACGGGCAATGTCGATGACAGTTTTTGTGTGATCTTTCGAAGAATAATCCCACTGGTTGGTGGAGTCAAAATAAGATTTCCCTGTGAAGGTTGATATATACATGAGTCTACAGTCGATATAAATTTGTCTAATTCTAGGAAATGCTATTAAAACCAATGTAAGCTAAAAATTTCGTAAAAGCTAAATAGAGGCAAATAGTTATATCCCAAATGGAACTTACAGGAGTAAATTATAAGAAGAGAAAAGGAGAAAGTCTTACCTCATTATAGTCAACAAACGTGTTACAGGAGTAAATTATAAGAAAAGAAAAGGAGAAAGTCTTACCTCATTATAGTCAACAAACGTGTTACAGGAGTAAATTATAAGAAGAGAAAGGGAGAAAGTCTTACCTCATTATAGTCAACAAACGTGTTATTTGCATGCAAATATGCTTCAATCATTGCCACCTGAATTTTAACACAAATAAGTACAACCTCGTGAAAATTTAAATAAAAGCAATAAGACGAAACATACATCAAACATCATGGTCATTAGATTTATGCACACACATGAAGGTTGAAAATACTTACAGTTTCATCACTTCTTCCAGTCAATTTCAGATATTGCAAAGTAACCTTGTCAACAGGAAAGAACCCCATTGTTGCACCATACTCAGGAGACATATTGGCAATAGTCGCCCTGTCAGCTTATGATATTTTACCCACGCCTTCTCCTACATGAAGGACATATTAGTGAGTTAGACCTATTGTGGACGAAATCATGGCAGTTAAAAATTACTAAGGCTTAAATTTTTATTACCATAGAACTCAACAAATTTGCCAACAACACCATGCTTCCTTAGCATTTGGGTCATAGTTAAAATCAAATCAGTAGCTGTGACACCATTGTTTAATTTTCCAGACAACTTGAATCCAACCACACTAGGTAACACCGTACTCATTGGCTGTCATTGTGAAAAATATAGCATTAGAAAACCAAAATGTAGAACTCTTCAATTTACTAATTTTCAAAAGTTATATAAAGCAGCATGACTCACATGTTCAAAGAACCGCATGCAATTAGAAGTTGGTCTAAGCAGTTAAATGGGCTAACAGAGTCCCTACATTACATTATTTTGTTAGAACATACAAGTATAAGGGAGACCATAGCAAAAAAACTAAAAGCATCAGATGAAAACAAAAGGCTCAAGTGTGTTCCTTTCAAGATCATGAATGGCAATGGGTGGATTTCAAAACCTGGAAGAAGGGAGAGGATGAAGGATAAGCCTGACTTTGACATGATTAAAAGGCAACATAGCATCATATTAACATTAACACACATTTCAGGTTTCAGAATATACCACCCCAACCTACATCTAATCCAGATATAGTTAATCATATGTGACTAAATAATTTTTATTTAAGCATGTAATATGTATATACAAGAAATAATACTAAAGTGATAGAGAAATGTATAGTTTATCACATTTCAGCTTATCTGTTATGATACAGGGGCAACAAATAAATGTTTGGTAAGTTTGTGCAACAAAAAGAAGACCTCGTAACCCAGAAAATGAGATCAAATACCACCTAAAATGGTTTTACACCAGTAGCATTATAACCTAATTCAAAATCCAAAATCTTTGAGTACAATAACTTTGAAGCAACTAGAAAAAGAAAAAAACATGAAAATTCAGCACAAAACTATGATAAAACTTTAGTCCATGTTAAGTAATGTATTCCTTTGTTTCTGACAAGTATTTAAAACCAAATCACTGCTGCTGGGTTTATATAATGCAAATCCACCAAAAAAAAAAAAACAAAACAAAACAAAAAACTATTCATCATCTAGTATAACAAAATTATCAATACACCATTTAGGCCCCATTTGGATAGCGAAGTGAAAAATAACACATAAATGAGTTTGAAAAAAGCAAATAAATGATTGTGATTTATCAACATAAAAAAAAAACAAGGCATAATTAGTATACATTAATGTGTGCTCATAAGAGGAAAAATTGGGGTCACACCTAACTTTGGCATAGTGCACTAATTATCAACACATAAATAAATAAATAAAAAGGGCACATGTCATAAAATGTTACTTATTTTGTATTAGAATAATTGTAAAAAAAATTATAAAGAGCAATTTTGGTGTCAATAAAACTTAAGTTTTAAAATATTGCTTTTTCTCATCATTTTCTCAATAGTTCTCTCATTTCTGTAATCATTCAACAAGTGATGAGAGATTTATTTTCTCTCAATTTCTTTTCTTCAATCAACAAAACCCCCAATCCAGCCGCTACTACATCATGTGCCAGAAATTCAAGTATTAATAATATATTTTCCATCAATCGCAACACCCGCGAAAACTAACATCTAAGCTCTAGTGATCCCCATTAAAAATAAATAAATAAATAATAGCATTTGATTTCCATTTTTTCAATAACCAAAACAATAGAAACCACATCAGAAAACAGAATCACAAACAGAACAATCCAATAAGAAATCGTATCAAAATCACTAAAAAAATACCCATGGTGGCAATCCTGCGCTCGAACCGACCAATGAGAGAATAAGAAGCCATCTTTCTATCATGTCAAGAATGGCATCAACTACCATTTGTTTCGACAAATAAACCCTCAAAACTATAAGCTCGTAGAACATCACCACAAGACATTACGTCCTCTGATTGAAGGACATTACATTTTGCACATAGTTTTCATACCGGAATATTATGAAGTCTTCCCAATCGAAAGAACATATTTTAGCACAACATAACCAAGCCTATGTGGAGAAAATAACCTTGGCCAAATGTTAAGCAGCAGATAAATATAGTAGATATAGACAACTAGCAGCACTTTAAGGATGGATATACTTGATAATAACTGTACTACAATTGAAAAAGGATGTATTACAAAAACAAAAGTAATAAAGTTGCAATGACATGATATTTAATAAATCAACAAAACAAGAATAAGGTTCTTGTGCTTGCATCTTTAGAAACACTAATAAAGTTGAAAGGGAAGAGAATGATATAGGAAATGATTGAACTCTTACATTGGAAAGTCCAAGCTCTATCTCTTCCTGCAAATCATTCAATATAGAAATCAGAACCAGGATTTTTTTACCTACCCATAATTTTTAGAATAGGGCATTAGTATAATTTTTATAGATGAGAAAGGGTCAATACATATAGGTTGATAAATGAGGGATATGATAGGATCATTTCAAATCAAATATCAAAACCATTCATAAAATATCACAGGATTGATTTCACCTTAAGAGAGAGAGAGAGAGAGAGAGAGAGAGAGAGTGGAGCTCACCGATCTGAATCGCTGAGATGAACTTCGATTTCGATTTCGAGAGAGAATTTCGAAATCGCTCTGATGAATCACCGTTCTGAATCGTCGAGATCGATCTGAACCTCTGAATCACCAAGCTGAATCTCTGCGATAATTAGGGTTTAGACAGCACAGAAAGAGAGGGAGAGGGAGAGGGAGAGAGAATGGAGCTCACCGATCTGAATCGCTGAGATTACCTTCAATTTCGATTTCGAGATATGAATCACTGAGACCGATCTGAATCACTGAGATCTGATTCATGATCTGAATCGAAATCGAAGTGATATGAACTCAGATCTAAATCAAAATCGAAGTGATATGAACTTAGATTTGAATCGCAATATGAAATCGAAGTGATATGAACTCAGAATTTTAAAATTTCGAGATATGAACTTCGATTTCAAGATCTGAATCGCTGAGATGAACTTCGAAATCGCTCTGATGAATCACTTCGATTTCGAGAGAAAACTTCGATTTATGAGGATTTCATTGATAAGCAACAGAATCTCTGTGATAATTAGGGTTTAGACAGGAGAGAGAGAGAGAGAGAGAGAGAGAGAGAGAGATTATTTGTGAGTGCATCGGTTCAATTTGAGAGTTGAGAGATTCTCAGATTGAAAAAGGAAGCGTGTGAGACAACAGGCATTTGAAGGCGTTGATAAACGTCTTCTATTCGTAAAACGGCACCGTTTCAATTAAAGAAAAATAAGACGCTTATCAAACGCCATTAAATATTAAAAACAGTGGCGTTTGAAACAACGTTGTTAAAAAAATGCCACCTAAACTCATATTTTCTGTAGTGAAAGCTAGTGTGTTGATTAAAACATTGAACTTTAGAATCATTTTTCATTAGATGATAATGATGTATGAAATATTCTTGGAAGACAATTATCCTCCTTCGCAAAATAAAGATTGAGAAATTGATAAAATCATCTGAATAATTTTTTTAAAAAAAATTAGTATTTTGCGTTCTTGAATAGTCTCGCTTTTTCTATCTTTTTAAAAGGACAGTTTGCATTCTCTTATCCTATTAGAAGTAAAAAGACATTCATACCCTTCTTTTAAAAATGTTCAATGCATAGGTAATTTTGGTTGTCCTTTCTGTGTTGAATAAGGAGAAACATTTTGATATTTTTTCCATGCTTTCCTCGGAATTGAAAGTTTTGGAGAATCATTTTGACTATAATGGAAAACCAAGAGCTAAATTAAATGTAATATTAATTAACATGGTGAATCTGTTTTCATTCAAATGACATAATAAAATTTGTAACAGTATATAAATAGAAGTGAACTCAAATTCCAAGCCCATGGGAAATCCATTTTGAAAAAATCACACATACTATTAGACAATCAAAACAATGAAGCACAACCATTACAATCCACTGCCCCATCACTCTTTCTACAAAAACTTGAGAAACAATTATTTTTAATGAGAAAACATGATAATGAAATGAAAATCAAACTATAAACCAAAGGCTAACTCCAAACAATCATTTATGGTAATCCCTGTTGCCTGTTTAGAATTTTGACTGAATGCTGACAACGATGTTTTCGTCCAGTTGAAAAGCCTTAGCAATAATATCACTCGATATTTTAGGCTTGGAACCAAACACCGCATTCGCAATTGTATTGACACCTGGGTTTTGGCTGCTGAGACCTGCAATGGCAACGGCATTGCCATTTCCCACGTTGCGTTGGAAGTGGATGAGGTTGATTGGGAAAACAAATACATCACCCTTCTGAAGCACCTTTGAGATTAGACGGTTATCAGGGTTTGACGTGACAAACCCAACTTCAAGGCTACCTTCTAGGACTGTCAAGATCTCAGTAGCGCGAGGGTGGGTGTGGGGAGGGTTGATACCCATTGGTGCATAGTCAATACGGACCATTGATACGCCAAGAGTGTTAAGCCCTGGTATCTGAGCTGCACTAACCGGGGTCACCTTAGAGCCAACTGCATTCGATGTGTTGCCGGCCATATGAAGTCCACTAAAGAAGAAGTCATTGGCTTGAACCATGATAGGGTTCTTGCATGCAATACCATTCACTAGTACTGTCATGATCAACAAAGTCACACAATCACTATTAGTAATAATAACAATTATGCAATTAGAGTTTGTTCACAAACATAGAGACATGCAAAAGTGGAGTTGTACCTTGACTGGTTGGATCAGCAACACAAAAATCTTGAAGAGGACTATTATCAGAAGCCAAGGCAGCATAGAAGGATAGAGATAGGAGTCCTAACAGTAGACCAGTGTTAGCCATTTTAGAAGATAAAAGAACAAAGAATAAGAATTCTTAGAAAGAAGTTATTAAAAGACTTAGTTGTAGTGTGGAAGAAAAATGTATATGCAGCTATATATATAACACAGAGAGAGAGAGAGAGAGAGAGAGAGAGAGAGAGAGAGAGACGAGAATGGTGTAATAAAGCATAAATTGCCGTCCTACGGCAACTTGAAATGGTCATACTTTATAGCTGGATAAGGGAACTTGATGAGAATATAGATCATGTAAACTTTGTCTTAAGCATAAACATAGTATTGGCTGAGAATGAAAAACTTGTCTTTGACTAAGCAAAAGAGGTTATAATGGATGGAAGGCTTTGTTTTTGTTTAATCTTTTTGATTCCAAGATGTGCATGACTTGGTCATAGTTTTAACTTTATGAAGAGAGCTGATACCGTGAACACTCTTAGAAAGATATATTTTATATGTACTTTATCATAATGTACGTAGTATAATTATAAAGTTCTGTAACAAATATAGGTTTAGAGGTGGCCTCCAAATGGTTAGTCCCCAAAATTGAAATAAATTGAGATAAATTCATAAATTCAAAGTTAAAATTGAATTAATTGAAATTATAGTGATTAAAATTCAAGAAACTTTATCAGTGTATAGGAGAGCAATATTAAATTTTATTTTCCCTGTTAAGTCATATAAAGTCGTTGATCAGTTTTATATATGTGGCAAGTGCAGTTAAAAAAAACATGTTATATTGAGTTTTATTTATTTATTTTTGTTTATTTTGTGCATTTTAAAAATTTTGAAAATATATTGGCATTTTTTGTTTTTTCCAAAAATGCCATTAGATAGCTTGAAAAGTTTGGCTTAGTGGCATTTCTCAAAAAATATTTGTTTATGACAATTTTCATCTAATACCATAAAAAGTAATTTGCACATACCTAGTTTAGTGACATTTTTTAAAAAATGTTATTGCTACTAAAGTTTAGTTGCATCTGTTGATAAATGTCATTAAAACAAATTCTTGTGTTATTCTTTTATAAAATGTTAAAATTGATACTACTAGATTACATTTTTATTATAGTGATGTGGCATTTCTTTATTGAAATGCCACTAGAGTCTTTTATGTTTGTGATTCTATGATATTTTTCTAAAACGTGTCTCCAAATATTATTTTTGTGATATTTTCTAAAAATATACCACTAATGTAGTCTCACTAAAATGTGTTGTTGTAGTGAGGTGTAAAGTTTGACTCTCCGCTAATACGAACACCATCCTTAGAGCATCCACAATGGATGCGTTAGTGAGTGTGTTAGTGTCAAGTGTTAGTTTTTGGCCAGCCAAAAATACTGTTGGATGCTGCAATGGGTGTGTTAGTGTTGTGTGTTAGTGTCAGCTGTTAACTTATCTGTTAACAGTGGCCAGCGTTTTAGCTAGCGAATGAAGAAAGAGATGTGTGCCTGGGGAAGTCCTCTCGGATGTCTGACCAGAAGTATCCCTGGACGTCCAGACCCTTTAAGAAAAGGAAAAAAAATAATAAAAAAAATTGTTTTTGGCCAGCCAAAAATACTGTTGGATGCTGCAATGGGTGTGTTAGTGTTGTGTGTTAGTGTCAGCTGTTAACTTATCTGTTAACAGTGGCCAGCGTTTTAGCTAGCGAATGAAGAAAGAGATGTGTGCCTGGGGAAGTCCTCTCGGACGTCTGACCAGAAGTATCCCTGGACGTCCAGACCCTTTAAGAAAAGGAAAAAAAATAAAAAAAAAATTGGGTCTGACCAGTTGACCGACCGAACGTCCGGGTAGTCAACCGACGATCAACTTAATTTTATTTTTTTCACTTATTGGGATTTTTTTTTTGGCTTGAAATTTTTGATTAAATTAAATTATTTATTTATTTTATTTATTATATATATATATATATATATTCTTAACACACACCTTAACACATCTATTGTACCACTACTCACTCTCTAAAATTAACAAACTATTAACACATCTTAAAACACATTTTTTGTCCCACTTTTATCACTTTTTGTCATATAATACAGACCTTAACACACTTTTTTAGCCATTCTACTGTTGATGCTCTTACACACTTGAGGTGGGTCCCAAAACACCGGTCTGTAGGCCAAGTTCTCAATCACTAAAAAAAAAGACTTTGTGGGGACATAAATTTTGAATGACACGCGGCTGAGGTGTCATCGAAGTGCCAGCCGAGGTGCCACGTGTCCTAGTCACGATGCTGAAATGATCTCGTCTATGTCGAGGTTATCTACGAGAATACCGGAATCCGGGATAAGCGAATAAGGGGCAAGAGTTCTAAAATAAGAGAAGACTTTAGTTTGGATTAAGATAAGACTCTTAGAGAGTTTATCCTAATCCTATTGGGAGTCCAAGATTAGCAGTAATCCTAAGTCCATTAAAGCTAGGCTTCTAATGGGACTAGGATTGTGTTCGCTAAAAAAGGGAGGCACCCTCGTGGGTCTAAGATACGCTTTTTATATTCTGAATAGTCAGTTAAGCACTTTTGCTATCTTTGAGAGATAACTGATTTGATCGTCAGAGTGCCCCCGGGTGGACGAACCACCGCCGGAATCTCTTCTTTCTGTGACAGGTCGTTAGGGCAATCTATTCTACCAATGTTCTCCAGCTGAGTACCGAATTGGCAGTGTGGTCAGAAATCTACTCACACAATTTGGCGTCGTCTGTGGGAAAGAAAGGAGAATAGATGGCCAGTAACGGGCAGAAAGAGAAGGTTGGGGACGACACTGCTACTAGGAGTGGGAAACCTATTGACCTTGACGTCGAAGAAGACAACTGCAATAAAGAGACTCGTGATAAGACTAATGGAGAGAAGGACGTCAGTCAGGAGGGCGACGTACTGAAGAAATCAGATCGAGACGGGTATTATAACGAAGACGACCTCCAGGTATGGAAAAATAGATGCCTACGGAGGGACGACGAAATGAAGGAACTAGAAAACAAATTGGCGGACCTACAATTGGTCGTCAATTTCATGATGCAGAACAACGTTATGCAACCCCCATTTCCATTACAAGATACACCGATTCCAGCGACCAAAAAAGATGCCCAGACAAGGGAGCAGAAGACAATTCCTGCGACTCCTCAGCACGACAGAACCAAGAAACACTCTCACCGGCCTTCAAAGAAGGTTAGGCAAGGAGAATTAGATAGAGGAGATTCACGGAGAACGCATCACACTAAGGAAGTCGATCCCAAAGAACATCGGCATGTTCAAGGGAAGGAACTGTGTTTCGACGCAACAAATAGAGATAGGTCCAAGAGGACTCATAATGATACTGGGAGCAGCACACCAAAAAGGCTGAAATCCGTTGATAGCCAAGCCCCTAGACGGACCAAGGAGGATTTAAGGGGTTACTTCCAGAGGAAGCAACAAGATGCCGAGGTAACCTCTCCGGCCAAGCCGAAAACACCGTTCTCAGTGGAGTTGGAGAAATTTGAAGCCTCGAAAAGGTTCAATATGTCGAGGTTACAGATATACGACGGCAAGTCAGACCCTAACTTTCACGTCGACTTATACCTGAACTCGATGGCATTGTACACTGGGAACGAGTCGTTGCTCTGCAAGGTGTTCCCCTCATCCTTTGGGGAAATTGCATCAGATTGGTTTCACAAGTTGCCGAAAAGAACTGTGAAAACCTAGGAAGGCCTGGCCAAGATGTTTGTGGTCAGGTTCGTGACAAACAAACTACAGCCACTAAAGATATTACGAGGTATTCAACCGAATACCAGGATGCAACCAGGAGGTGGCGGTCGTATCTTTTAAGAATGGCCTGAAAGATGACTGCCTGCTTCGAAAGTCATTGGCAAAGACATTGCAAAAAAGTATGGAGGAACTTATGGCCAGGACAGAAAAATATGCCAGGGTTGAGGAGGACACGCTGGGAACAAAGGCGTCAAAACAAGAGAACAAAAACGGCTTGCCGAAGCGAAACCGAGGTGATGGAGGATACAACAAGCAAAAGACAGGCCTGAGGGCCACTCAAGCAGTCACTACCGTATTTCAGATTTCGATCTACAAAGTCCTAAAGAGGATCAGAAACCAAACATATTATGGGCACCAGAGAAGGCTTCTGGCGAGTTTATGGGACGAAGCCTGGGAAAGCACTGCGCCTACCATAATGAGAATGGGCATCTGACTCAGGGGTGTAGGGCCCTAAAAGCACATTTAGAAGACCTGGTAAGACAAGGTCATCTAAGGGACCTAGTAGACGAGACCAGGACAAGAGAAGAGCAAGCAAGACTGCCTCATGCACCAGCAGCACCGTCACCTCCAGCACCGCAACCATAGGGAGGCGACCTTCGAGTGATCAATGTGATTCACTCGAAGGTCAATGAGAATGAAATCTGTGGGGAGACCCAGAGGATAAAGCACTTGCAGCATGTGTACCAGTTCCGCCAGAAAAGACCTAGGGCAGACGAATGCCAGGGACCAGTGGTGTCCTTTACAGAAGATGATCTAGAGATGGTGCAGCATCCACACAACGATGCCTTGGTAGTATCCCTCCAGATTGGAGAATGCCAAGTGAAGCGCATCTTAATCAACCAGGGCAGCTCTTGTGACATCATGTATGTCAGATGTTACAAGGAGCTTGGCCTTCATCAAGATGATCTGGAGCAATCCAATGGTCCTATGGTCGGGTTCAATGGAACGCCGACATGGCCCTTGAGAGCAGTAAATCTGGAGGTACAGGCTAGCACCAAGAAGATTAAAACCGAGTTCACTGTAATTGTTACTCCCACACCTTGCAATGCTATCCTGTGAAGGCCGTGGCTGCATGCAATAGGGGTTGTCCCCTCAACATTACACCAGCTATTGCGGTCCCCAACAGAGCATGGAATTGAGGAGGTTAGGGGGGATCAACTGCAGGCAAAGAATTGCTCCATGGCAGCAATGAAGTCTACCTGCAACATAAGAGAAGCAGAAATAGCAAAGATCGAGGACGAGAATGTGGTCCTGGATGACGTTGGCAAAGAGCCGACCAAGAAGAGTGAAAAAGTCTTGAAGAAAATTCTTATCCAGTAAGGGGATGAGGA